GAGAATATTCTCAGAAGTAGGTTATACACGAGTGTCTGGTGAGTCTCTCACCGTCTTCTCTGGAGATGTTCTACTTTGCTTGGAATAGTTAAATACAAACACAAGAATATGGGCTAACTGGCTTGGTGGTAGCACTACCAGGAAGAATCTGTGGAATATGTTAGATTTGTTCTTTCCCTGCTCATTTTTCCATCCTTTTTATCACTATTTCTTGAGGCAGTGATATAAATCCTTAATGCATTCAGTAGTATGTATATAGTTACCTTGTTTACTGTTATCTCATTTTTTTTATGTAAAACTTTTTCATTACGGAACACAATTTTTTCCCTTTTGAATTTGTTGCTTTGTGGAGATCTTAAACTTTGATTTATTAGAAATAAAAAGTGGATACCATTCAAGCAACCAGAGCTTCTATGACTATTCTGTCTGAACTGCATTGTATAAAGTATTTTACATAGTCAGTTTGCACAAAACATAAATAAAAACATAATATAGTCAGCTATTGAAAGTGAAATGTGAATACTATGTCTTTAAATAATCTTCAGGTACACTTTAAAGAAACCTAAACCAAAAATAGGATTTTAGTGTTTATAGGTTGAATGATTTAATAACTAAATCGTTACGTAGAATACAGATTGGTGTTCACTAAAAGGCATGGGTTTAAGCTGAAATCTTTCTTTTACAGGAGATTTTATGAGGATGGAGCGATTGTCTTGGGTGAAGAAGCAAATATGCTTGCTGGCATGTTGCTGGGACTCAATGCTATTGATTTCAGGTACTTAAGTTATTTGACAAGTACTTGATCATACAGCAAATATTCTGTGTAATTCTAACTGCTTTTATTTAAAATTATTTGGTTCTGAAATGTTATGCCACTTATTAGTGTGATGAAAGTTGTCTTATTTCTATAATAATTCTTTTTATTTAACTTTGTTCAAATTAAGGAGAGAACCTTAAAATAGCAGGGTAGTCTGTAAGTTTGGGTTTATAATGGGGCATGTGTACATATGTACACACACACACGTACACACACTACATAGGTTTGCATTTTCAAATATTTGTATACGGTTTTAGAAACTTGTCCCATCAACCAGTAGTTTTGTATGACTTCTACACACTCTCCTCCTCTTCCACATGAAGAACAATAACCTTAAGGTGAATGCTGTGTTGTGGAGGATTTCCATCCCAGTCTTTTCCTAAAACCACTTTTCACTGACAAAAGACCTCAGGGAACAATATCCGAGGGAATGATATACTCCCTTGCAGGCTATTTCTGGAAATGCAAGAGAAAATGTATGCTTCTAACTCCCAGGAACTCAGACCAGACAAGAAGATCCACAAGCCAGGCAACCTACAATGCCCCATTGTCTCTGGCATTGGCACAGTCACAGAAGAAATGCCTAGCTGTGTTGACTCTCTCCTATTTCCGTATACCACTGGAGCTGCCAGATACCATAGATTTTCTCAGGAAACCAGATTCCATTGACAGACTTCCACCAAACTCTGTTAGCCATCAAGGTCATCTCATCACTGTACACCAAAGTCTCCCCATGAAGATGGATTACATTATCTGCTATGATGACACTGCTTCCATTTCCTTCAGATTCTTGCTTTGTCCCATGCACTATTTCAGCTATGGCAAGTCCCTAGATCTTCAAAAACTTTGTACTGCCCTGGGTACATGGATATTTTATTAGTACATCAACATATTTATAACAGACCTTGAAATCTACCTCCTCCACAGATGCCCCATCATACCACTGGTATTTGAAAGGTACACTAATGACATCTTTAATGTGTAGATACAGTGGGAAGGATCTCCAGTGAAACTGTACCAGGACTTTAACAATTTTCACTCCTCTGTCAAACCTTGAATACTCCATCCGTCACACTCATTTCTTGAACATCTCTGTGAAACTTTGCAATGATCACATAAACGGTTTCCATTTCATTGGAAACTGACTGACTGCTACACCTATCTCCACGCCACCAGACTTCATCCTAATGATCATAATGTAAATCCATTGTCTGTAGCAAATTGCATTACAACTACCTTCTGATTAGCAGATGCCTACTTTGGGACTCTAGAACAGGGTTCCCTGTAGCCACTCAGATCAAGAGAGCCAAGGTCAGATCTCAGGTTTGATATTGTAGCAATTCGATGCTAAGGACAACAGGATTGTCACTTAAAGCTCTCAGCCCTTAGACACATCTGTTGCGAGTGGTTGGGTTGGCAAGGCCCTGGCTCCACATGGTTTGGCTTTGTCCCTGGCAGAGGGCAAGTGCACAGTGGTTTACAAGCTTGAAGTGCGATAGAAGGTTACATCTTTTATTATACATAGAATAACTATAAAAACCAATTGGATTCTAATGATCACATAAGAAAAACAATTACCATACAGATATCGTTTTAGGTTTACCCTATTTTACTACTTTGGCATGTGTACTAATTAGATGTTCCCTTATTTTTGGCTTTGTTTTCCTGGAAGATGTCACTTGACTTAATCGTCTTCCAGGTGTGAGATGTATGGGCCTTGAAACTCCCTGCTCATTATATTTAAAGCAGAGTCTGGTCCCCTTCCAGGATGGTGAGGAACCTACTTAGAATAACTGGAACCAATCACCACTGAATCACTGAACCAAGTAACACAAATGATAATATCCAGAGTTCATTCACCTGCCCCTTCACCAATATCCTGCACTCCATAGCCTGTGTATGGTTCACCTTGATTGTCTACATTGGCCAAACAAGGTAAAAGAAGGAGTGGACACCAATTAACATAAGTTCCAGAAATACACAAAAGCCCATGGCAGAACACTTCACTCTCCATGAACATTTTGTCATTTACCTCAGAAAATGTGTCCTTTAAACAAAAATGTTTTAAAAAGCAGCTTGAATATGAAATTGCAGAACAAGAAATCATCCACAGACTGCATTGTATTCTTGACAGGGAACAACTGTGCCTCCTGCCATGCTATATGTGTAGGGGCTCAGATCCCAATTGCTCTGTATTGCCAATGCAGGGAGAGCTTAGGATCATGATCCTAGGCTCCCCCTGCACCAGCAAGTAGCGGGCCTGTCGGCTGATCAGACCTACCTTGAGACTGCACTGGAGTCGTTTGGTGCGCCCTCAAGACTGGGAGCCCCAGTCAGCTAACTGCAGCTCCCAACCTCAGGGACATCTCTGAGGCTGGGAGCCTCAGTACACTTCCAATTTAAGGTGCGAAGGGAACCAGTCACAAAGTTATTACACATTTTGTATAACTGTGTGGCTTATTCCCTGTTTTATTGGGTCATTAACTGCACGTGTGGTTGGGTTACTACTTAAGGTATGTTTAACTAGTTAATCACATCTTAAGTGTAATGCCTGCCAGGGTCTTCTCTCTCCTCATAGCAGCAGTAAGTGTGTGTGTGTGTGTTTAAAGTAATAAGGTGTGTCAGTTGCCTTGATTACTTGCCTTGTATGTTTACTATGTTTGCCCCTTTGTCTGGCCTCTTAGGCCTCAAACTTGCAGCCATTTGCTTATGTTCATTGAAGTAAGTGTATATGTAACTTCCATTACAATCAAGTTAAGCACATCTGTAAGAATTTGTAATAATCTAGACAGATAATCCCTGCCCCAAAGAACTTGTTATTTTAATTCATATTACACGGGCTCAGCCATGTTGGAAATTACTACAATCAAATGATTTTAAAGTGTGGAAAATGCAATAATACGTAGATTGAATTGTGTGCGTGATAACTTTTGCTCAGTTCTTGATGAGTAATAGCTGTTTAAAGTCCTTAAGAAAAAGCAAACTAAGACTACAGTGCCCTTTGTCCTTGGAAAAAGTACCAAATTGTATTTCTACTCAGAATGCCAATATGCATAAAAATTGTAACATCCTAAAATGGAGGCCAAAACTTTTAATTTTCTTAGTATTAACAATATAGACTCTGCATATATGTTGATGGTCAGTTACTGAAAACTATTTTTCAGTCATTCTTTTTTCTGATATATTTTGTTGATGAAGGAAATCAAGTATGTATGCTGGTAAGATTTCAGCTTGTATAACATGGTTCTCTATTTTATCAGTTTCTGCTTGAAGGGAGAGGGACTGGATGGCAACTTTCCAGCTGTAATAGATTACACACCTTATCTGAAATTTACCCAAAGGTAGATTTTTTTTAAAAAAATATTAAAAACTTATGTTATTTGTAGAGTTAAGCTAGTAGTTAAATATTTGAGCTTGTATTTACCATCCTGAAGTTTATTGATATCTGGTATGCTAAAGTATGCCCCATCTGGTGACCAAAATGATGCTTATCTTGATGTACGTATCTTGGGCTCAAACTTACAGATATGAGCTGTCATATTTCAGTTTCAACATACATCCCTTAGGGTTTGTCTTTTTTCCAACCAGCATGCATATGAAGTGGTCTGTTAGCAAAGCTTACGCTTTCTAGTTATAGTATATAGTGTATATAGTTTATTTTTTTTCCTGTAGGAAGCAATTTTTTTCTTATGTACACTGTTTCTGTTAAGCCTCAGTTTTAATAATGTTGATTCTGAAATGTAATAATTTTATTTGGCCCTGCACTTTTGCAGGGTGACACAGATATAAACAATTGTCTGTTTGCAGTATCAGCATTTTATCTCTTCATAGAAATTGAATATCTTTGATCTGTTTAACCATATGTTGCCTTTATGATCTTGCATAATTGTTCTTTTTGCCAAAGTGCACGTAATTAATATTTATGTTGGACTGAGAAAAATAAGGTCTTCAACTAAGCATCTCAAAAGAGCATATACATTGGCGGTTGCTAGATTTTTCTGTTTGAAAAAAACAAATGGGAATTACAATTAGTCATCCCATTACATATCTTTCATATTGTATCTCTTGAGACAGACAACCAAACTTGGAAATTATAAGTATTCTCTGGAGATGATAGTCTTATTTTTTTTTTAAATACCAAATTGCATAGTTCAGTATGCAGTAGTGATCAAAAAACATAATAAATTGTTGGGCATCATTAAAAATGGAATTGAAAACAAAATGGAAAATATAATGTCATACAAATCTATGGTGTGCCATCTCTTGAATACTGTGTGTAGTTCTTGTCTCCACATGTTAAATGGATGTAGTAGAATTAGAGAAGGTACAGAAAAGGGAAATGAGATCAAGTGTATGGAGCAGTTGCCATACCAGTAGAAATTAAAAAGGCTAGGACTCTTCTGCTTGGAAAGGAGAAGGCTGAAGCAGGGATGTGATAGGGGGTCTATAAAATCACGAAGTGTGTGGACAAAGTGAATAGGGAACTGTTATTCATCAAGTCCCAGAATACTAGAATGAATGGGCAACCACTAAAATTAGAAGGAGAGAGGTTTATACCTCACAAGAGAAACTTTTCTCATGTAGTACAGATTTAAGTTGTGGAACTCATTACTACAGGAGGCTATAGGGGTAGATAGTATAGCCCAGTTAAGGAAGGGACTAGACACATTTATGGATGATAGATCCATTAATAGTGGAGGCCAACCTTCTTGGCGGACAAAAAGGCTAAATAAGCCACAGACTAGTGCTGCCCTTGGTGTCACTGTGATCCCTTTCCTCTGCTCAATTGGCTGCTCTTTCTGCTCCCTACCTGATTTGCTGCTTTGTTTTCTGCTTCTTGTGGTGCCTACCCAGTCTGCTCTTTTTTTTTCTTGCCCAAAATCCCTCTCCCTGCTGTATCTGTCACTGTGCTGCCTGGCCACTCCCTGATTTTGCTGTGCGACACGCAGAGATTGCTTGACTTGTAGCGCCCATGCTGCAGGTCCGTCGTCCCTGCCCCTCCTCCTCCTGCCCTAAAGCATCCGTTTGGGATAGGTGCAGACATTCAAAAAGCCCAAAGCAGAATCAATTTAAGTTTCAAATTTTCTGTAAGCAGTATAGTTTAGATTGGTAATGAACAGAGCACACATTCACCCTTTGGGCTGGGGGTGGGGGGAATCTTAGATCTGGTTCCATGATTTTTAAATCAGACTCTGTGCTGAACATCTGTTCTGTTATGGGTATTGATCTGTTTTGTGTGCCAACCTTCTGTTCTGTTGTGGGTATACACTGGTTTCCAATCACTTATACTGGTAAAAGTGTAGTAACTGTCCCTGGCCTTGGAAATGGGCTACTAGGATGGATGAACCATTGATTGGATGCAGTATAGCTTGTCTAATGTTCTTTTGTTCACTTAAAGGTGAACTGCAACACTAATGTTTTATCCCAAATTAGTAATAGAATATGCATGCTGAGAAATGCACACACATCTTGGAGAAATACTGTTTGTTCAGTCAGCATTGCATTATGTTGCAGTTGGAAAAGTTTTTATGGATGCTCTCATGTTTGCTAGAGGGAAGGCAAGCTTGCTGGTTTGCCTTTAAGTTGAAACAGAATACAGCCCTTACATTCTTTGGTTGTAATTCGTGCTTCTGTTTGTTCCTGTTAATGTGGCCTCAAAGATTGTATACTTTGAGCACACCGTAGTAGTTTGCCTTCAAGAGTTACACCAACTTTAAAAGAGTTCTTTGGCATTCTTACAGTATTTAAAATACCAATATTATATGTCTAGATGAAACATGAAAAATCTATTACTTAGAAATTTTAATACTGAAAATAAGCAAAGGTGTTGCATTTTTGTAATTCTGCAGGAAGGTTAGTTTTACATTAAAATCCTTCCTTCTGAGACTTCCCCGTCTTAATTTTTTTCTAAGTTTATTCTCTGGTAGCTCCTGGGAGGAGCACAGAGCCCCATTAAAGCTTCTGAGACCTAATGGCCTGCTGCCCTTTACTATGGTCATGGCAGAAGTTCGCCTTCAAATTTCTCTCATTTAGCATAGCAAAAAATCCTCCTTTTGTGTACTAGTTTGCATTTTAGAATCAAATCCCATTTCTTCCTAGTCATTCTCAATTGCTTGAGTCTGGGAGCTGCCAACTTAATGCTTCTCATTCTGAGATGGCTGACTTTCTACTTCCTATTACTTTGATGCATTATGCTCATCCCTTAGTTCCTTCATCATTTAAAATTTAACCTTATCCCCAATTAGTATTGTAGATTTCAGCCTCAAGAAATGGAGCTATAACTGTGTGTATATGTATATGTATATTTCTATGCACACCTGCCATGTGCTCCATCATGGCTTTTTGCAGCTAGTACATAAACACATTTTCACAGTATTTTAGTTGATTCCAAAGTAGTGCATTAATGTGAAAGGTTTAATCGTATGTCTGTTTTTTCTTACTGATTTTTTTGTTTTAAGAAATTGACATATTTTACCTTTCAGAGTAGCAGTGTTTCAACTTTTAAGTCTAATTTTGCACTATAATGAATTATGCTTATAAAGGTGGCTTATTACTATGGTTCTTCAGTTCTGACAGCATAAGCAGTGATGAAGAAGAGCTGCGAACACTGGGCAGCAGTGGCAGTGAAAGCAGTACTCCAGAAAATATTGGTCCCCCTTTCATAATGGATGAAAACAGTTGGTACAACAAATGCAAAAGGGTAGAGCAGAAATATCGACTGGCTTTGGAACAGAAGGTAAAATATAAGTGTGCATAAGGGTGAGGATGACAGATTGTTTTTTATGTTCTTGGTATTGTGACTAAAGCATGATTTTTATTTGGGTTATCTTGGTTAAAATGTAATGAATGCTGCAGTTCTGTGTTCCCTTTTTTTTAGATAGTGGCTTCCATCTATCCTAGGTACTTATATGGGTTGTGGCACCACTGTATATGATAGTTTAAATAAAAGTTTCTTAACATATAACAAAGTGCCTATTTTGAGGGTCATTAGCCTAATCTCTTTGGTCCTGCACTAACATTTAAGATGTGTTCAGTCTCCAACGGGAGACTGTATGGGAGACATCATGGGATTGTAATTTTAGATTAAACACAAATATTGTAGGAATATAAATATAATAACTAACAACAAGTTGCTGTTCTATGTGATTAATTTTCTATCTCAAATTACTCTTGTTGGCCTCTTTGGACTTCTCCCAATATTTTTCTTAAATCTGATTACCAGAACTAGATGCAGCATACCAAAACAGGTGGGTGGGTTTAATATCTTTTTGAGCTATAATTCTGCTCTTTATACATGCAAGTATTGTTTTTAGTTTTTGCTGCTGACATGAATGGAACTTCTCCTTTTCTGTATCTTGTTGAACAGGTTCTTGCTGGCACAAAAGATGCCATAAGATTCAGTCTTTCAGTATAAAAGAACTTTTTTTTATCTGGTCTCATCACCTTAATACACCATTACTTTCCAAAATACACAGCGCTTTGAACTATCTTCGGCATTACAGAGATAACTAATCTTGTCTAAGTCCTCTGTGGCTATATTTGGCTTCTGTATCTTCCATGAATCAATCAGTCAATCCAAGGTTTCTCTATAATATCTCACTTCATAATGAATAATGGTAACTCTATGTAGTTCATGTTCCTCTGGGTCACTCATGAGTAGGGGTCTACTGAACTCAAGGCAGCTGCTGGCCAATTTTCATGAGCAGACTATAGAACTGGCAGCCATTTTTGTGGGTCGAGCATGGTGCTCCCCCAAGTGCCTCTGGCTGAGAGGCCCCAGTAGTCCTGCCCCTGGCCACTGCAAGGGCTGTCCATCATGTAGCCCCACCCCTCACAGCTGATTGATGTAGAGGGGCTGGGTCACATGATGGACAGCCCTCGCAGCCATTCAGCAGCAAGGGGTGGGGGTGGGGGCGGCAGCAGCTATCTGGCCATGCTGGTGATATCTCTCCCCCTAACCCCCCCATGGGCTATGCAGCCAGCCTGCAGCAGCCACAAGGACTACTGGCTCCCCAGAGGGAGTCAGCGTTTTATTCTTGGTAAGTGGCTCTTTTTTCTCCAGGGAGCCTGCCAGAAGTGCAGAGCCCATGCTTTTTTGCAGGGCCTGCACTTTATTGTGGAACCTGCCTGAAATCAGTTTCTGCAAAAATGGCAAATTTGGCACATGGGTTTCACTCTAAAGACTTAGCTTTATTTGGTTATGTCATATCCACCAAACCCTTTCCCTTTATGCACCAAACCAGTTATCCTGTCAAAGAGGGAAATCAAGTTGATTTGTCAAGATCTGTTCCTAACAAGTCTATGCCAATGAATGGGTATTATGTTTGTGCCCACCCCAAAAAACGACTACGGCTGTTCAGGGGATGTTTTGCAAAAGAGAACTGACTCTTTTGTAAGAAGTTAGATAAGTTACCTGTGAGGAAGATCTCTCTCCTCCCAGTCTAATTTGAACAACGGTATACTTCTTTCTGATGTGGAAGACAGCGAATATTCCACAATTCTGTGAAAGCAAGAGAGTTCTTTCTACCAGTCCTCCTATGAAATTTTTACTGGTAGGAATGAATCCCTATCTGTGGACTATGTTGGCTGCTTGTGAGTATCCCTTCATCCTGCAGGTATTTACAAATTAGAAGAGAATCGTTATCAGTTGCTCCAGTAACTTCCCAGATCTTGGAATTCAGGCTGCCTGATCTGTCATTCTCAGAATTTTCTGTTTTTCAGCTATTTAAATATGGGCACTATGTTTAACCCTGTCTAGTTCTCTGGGGCCTTGTGAGTTTGCAAATAGTATTACTAGTGGTTCTGAGATTTCTTCAGCTAGTTCCTTCAGCAGCTTGAGGTGGGGGACTCGGTGGGTGCATCTACGTAAGATGCTTTACTGCTTATCAGACTAATTTGCCGCACAGTAAAGTGTCACTGTGTACACATGCATGGTAATTAGGGTGCCGTAGACTAATTTACTGTGGTGCTGGATAGTCCTGTCAGATGCAGGTAGTATCCAGCAGCACAATAAATTACTGTGCTTAAGTGCACTTGTAGAAGATGACATCAGGATTAATTTACTCTGGCTCAAATTTGAGCCAGAGTATATTCAGTTGCATTAATTGCATGTGTTGACATGCCCAGTCGGACCTACTATTTGTTCAAATAAATCAAAAATTGTTGTTATGTCTCTCATTTTTCATGATCTGCAGGTCATCCTCTTCTTTGTTAATATTAACTGTGACCCAACAATTAGCAAAAGTTTTCAGTTATTTTTGTGAAGAGTAAAATGAAGTGGATATTGAGCAACTCTGCATTCTTTGCATCTTTCCTTAGTATGTATCTCTCAATCTTTTCAGGTGTCCAAAAATCTCCTTTGCAGCTACATCAGTCTGTTGTGATTCTTCTTACCTCTTTTCTGCATTCGTATAGGTTTATGCTGAGCTTTCAAAGTTAAGTCTTTTGTGGAACTGGCAATCCAGTTGGATGGATTCCTTTTTTAATTTGTCTACCCATGGAACTCTGCAGTCTACATCCTAGTTGGCTGCTGTTTGTGCTATTCATAATCAGTGTCATTGTTTGGGTGCTTTGAAGTATTCTTTTCTTATATGATCAAGTGTATGATTTTCATCTCTACTTTCCAAGTATTTACCTGGTTGCAACTGTGAAGCTGGTTAATTTCCCCTTTGCATTGGGAACTGGGTCCTGGGGACTTGGCACTACCTTCTCCTAGCCCCACCCAACTAGAATTGGGCCCTGGGGCCCAGAACTGGCCCCGCATGCTGGGACCAGGTGCTCTATCCAACATGGAGGTCATGGGGCCTTCCACGGATCTGGACATTTGGTAGCTGCACTGCTGCTGCTCCACATTGCCAAGTTTGTAGACCTGTGGTGAGCCCCATGGGCAGGACAACATGGTGTTGTGGGCTGGATCTGGCCCATGGGCCCAGAGTTGAGCACCCTGCCTTTTTACCATTTTCTGGAAGCTTAAGGATGTGGAGAATGTGTGCTAGCCTACTGAGAGCTGTTGACTAAACCTTTGGTTTGGTCACACTCAGGCTACACTCTCTCAAAAATTAATTAAAGTATAGATAAGTGATCTATCCCCCTTGTATTTTCATGCCCTGCACCAGTGAGACATAATTTCAACTAAACATTTTTGCTGCTGTTTTGTATAATTTGGTGCTGCTTCATTTGTTCCCAACTTTCCTAATACAAATTGAATTGCTAATATTTTCGATCCTCTGTTTGCTGATTAGTTTGATCCTTTTCTTGTCCTTTTGATGCATCTTCCAATGTCTTCAGTAATTGCTTTGTAAATAATAGAGTTATAACCAGTTTCTGGCGGTGGGGTTTTTTGTGGGTTTTTTTTTGTTTTGTTTTGTTTTGTTTTTTTTTTGTTTTTGTTTTTTTTTTTTAGAGAGAAAGCTTAAAGCTAGTAGTACAACATTTATTGGCTGATCATGCTGGTACCATTGTAATCTCATTTATCTCTTTCCAGGTTTTGCTTCCATTTTCTTGGAATAAAGACTGTTCTAACCACATTAATAACCTAAAAGGTGTTCTTTTTGTCAGAATTTGATAATGCATAATCTCTACATGTCCATTCACAAGAATGTTAGAACAGAACTAAACAGTAAAGCCATATATTTTAAGCTAAAAAATGGGAATGTGTTTGTTCATAATTCTTGTTATTGTTCCATGAAGATTTCTAACTTCTATTTACAGGGTTATCTTGAAGAGCTGGTACGCCTTAGAGAAACACAATTGGCTGAATCTGTTTCACAGAATAAACTCCTACTGCAGCGGATTGAAGATATGGATCTAGCCCATAAAATGGAAAAGGAGCAGCTGGAGTACATCATTGTGGAGCTGCAAGACCAGCTGTAAGTCAGACAGGTGGAGAAATATTTTTGTTAAGGAGTGGTAACAAATATCTATCTGGATGCTCTTCTTTTCTGTATGCTTTACAAGAATACTTGATCTCTTGGAAAAGAACAAGTCTTAATCACGACAGTATTGAAGTAGCTCTATTTTCAGTAAATGTGGAATATGTCTGTCTTAGATTAAAAAAATTAGACAAAGGGGTGCATTAATATGAAATGCCAAAACTGTGAGAAATTAAAAATTAAGACAACTTATAATAGGATTCCTATTTTAATTAATGTGCATTTTTCTGATTAATATTGCCATGTTGTATTTTACTACTACTAGCTTTAAACAAAACATTTCTTGGGAGGTAAAAAGTAATTTCATTTTTGGGGAGAAAAGTACTTGCTTTTCCATGTATGGAGTTGTAGACACTTTATGCTTTAAATTCTGTGGTGGTAAAGCCGAGGAACATGAGCAGTCCATCTGCTGAAGCTGAGCCCTTTGTTATTGGACACATTACCTGCTTCTCACACTTGCCTTCATGTTAGGTAAAAAGGTCAGAGCAGCACAAAGGGAACTGTTTGGCTCCCAATACTATAGATCTGAGTACTTCACAATGTGTAAGAGGCTGGAATTATTTACCTCCTTTATTAGTGAGCAGCTAAAGTACATAGAGGCTAAGTGGCTTGTCCAAGGTTACATAGGCAGTCTGGCCCAGAGAAGATATTGAACTTTGGGTATCCAAGTCCTTTCCTAATACTTTAGCTGCTTGACCATCCTTCTTCTTCTCTGGGTCTCATAACCCAGAGCTGGTAGAGAACTGCTCAAGTGAAGGAAATAAGGAAGACAGCTGGAGACTCTCTTCTAAGGATGCTTTGCAGACTAATTTCTTCAATATAAACATTTCTACCTTCATTTTTCTTTTCTTTAGATGAAAACTTAGATTTTAGAATGCAATCATGAGTTAACTCAAAGAAAGAAATCCAGCCTAATGTGGACATATGAGACATACCATAATTGGACTTCTAGGTTAAGGCAGGTATTTGGGGGTCTGTATACAATTTTACACAGTAACAATATTGTCAATGCAGAAAATCTGTCAGAGGTGCTCTTTCAAAATTGGCTTGCAGCCTCTCTCTAGTTACTTACCCAAGAAAGTTAGAGGGGTAAAAATATGATTTGGATGAGGAACCTGATAATGAAAACTAGCAGCAACTGGTATTTTCTAGAGTCACTTTGCACTCGCTCTCCTGCTCTTTGCTTCATTCTGGCAAGGCACAGTAATTCCATAGTGATTTCTGGTTTGTTTTATTAAAACATTAATTTGGCCAATTGCATTTAGTGTTCCGTTGGTAATATTAATGGCATCCATTTATCAGCGAATGACAGTGGATATTGCAGCTATTCTACTGACTGGTGGTGTATTTTCTCTTGTGGCTGTAGAGACCAATGTTAAACCAGCCACAGTGGTCACAGGTATACATAGCATGAGAGGCCATTGTACTGATAAGCTGTTTCCTTCAGTCATATTTCTGGTGTAATTCAAGTAACCACCATGTTATACCCATGCAAATAGCAAAGGTGGAGTATCTGCTCCATTCAGTTTTGGCTGCAGTAGCCTAGGCAGTTGATAGAGAGATACTTGAGTTGCCCGTATATCAATATCCCCCTCAGCTGAGCTGGTTGATTCCAAAGGAAAGGCAGAAGCCAGTACATCTGGAACCAGCTTGGCTGCAGGAGCAGCCAGTATGAAGATCTTTACTGTTTGGCTCCTAGATTGGTTGCCAACCAAGGCTGGAGAGCCCAGTCCACCCTGCCGTGGCATCTGCCTTTTGGTAGCATTTTCTCCACTAGGGATAAGGACTAGTATCCCCTTTAGGTTGCTCCTCTGCCCAAAGCTATTGGCATCATAGAGGTTGCTAGATTATTTCCTGATGCCCAGATCTCAGAGTTGACATCTGCAGGTAGTACTGTCTACTGTCATAATGGTAGCAGACCTGGCCTCGTATGAATACTAATGATGCATCTAACTTTAAGGTCAGTCAAAACATTTAAAATGTTACAAGTCAAAGCATGTATCATTAATTTACATGAAATACAAATTTAAGCCTGAATAGTTCTCAAATAATTGATTTAATATATGTTTCTGTGAAAGGGAGCTAATGAGAATATGTATATGCATCCTGTATTTGCTGATGTTTCTGTGTGGTCACTGACCTCCTGACCTGAATATAAGTCACTTTTCAGAAATCCTGTTGGAGATAGAAGCCTAAATTTTGTGATTAAGGCTGCATCTGAACAAAAAAACTATCAGAGCTTTCTTACCTGCACAGATTGCAATTGCTGCTTTCTAAGCATCTGTTAACAGCTGTGGATCCAACAAAACTGTCATGTTGATATACTAACTGTCATGCACTTCTTTACTCTGGGCCTTCTTTTGTGGGAGAATGGTATTTTTGAATGTGCAGTCTCTGCTACTTTGAAAGACAGGGTGGTGAAATTGAGCATGGTGGTGTTTTTATCTAAACGTTTTAATACTAAAAAAGGAAAATAGTCTTCATCAGACTCTTCATTAGATCCCAGGAGGCTCCTCAGAAATCTTTGATTTCTTTTCTTTCTTGCCTAGATTGGCTCTCTGCTTTGTAGCTCAGACAAGCGCATCTGCCTGTAGCTTTTTAAGACCAAGCCATTGCAAGAATGTAGATTTGACCAAGGAATCAAGGAATTTCTAAACTTTAGGCCTCCCAGTTTTCCTTTCTAAGCCGCCAGATTTCTTATTATAAAATTCCTTTTAATTGTAATGAAACATCAGACAAGATGGGGGTTAGTTGATACCATGTCTAAATAATTAGTTTTAAAATCAGCCATTTGTGAGGGTCCTCTCAGACTTTCAGTATACAACTTCTATATTCAAGGACTTTGGTCTGTTAATAAATTGTAAAAGTATCACTTAGGTCTCAAACTATGTACATTTATAGGAATAATCCTGGACTCTGAAAGGCAAGACATTTGTGCTAGAAAATTTGTAAATGTCTGAAATTTCAGTATTCTTCACAGCCAAACTGTAGAAAAGGTTTCTTTCTCCTATGAGTGTTTGTCCACAGGCATGTTCTAACTGGGAGAGTAAATGTGCCATAGATCGCAAGCTTGGAAACTTTTTTGCCTATCAAATCTAATTCTCCTCTTGCTCCCTGCAGAGGCAGTAAAAGAGATACATGCTTCCTGATTCTCATTTTCACTCATTGATACTAGCAGAAGACAGAGCACTCTGTAAATTTATGACTTGAGGCCTTGACAATTACAGTCAAAACCTTTTTGAGCCTCTGCTGCTTTTTATCTTCATTTTCCATCATTGTACCTATTTTCATTTTGTTTTCTCTTGTAAAAAATGTAACTCTTTCTATTTGCAAAACTTTAGTTGCCTCCCAGCTTAATTTTATCTGAATCATTCAGTGCTGCCCTCTGGGAGCATTGTACTCTTTTAGCATTTAGTCTCTTTTAATTTTGGTGAAGAGAGAGCAGAAGACCAAGGTTATCATCATCTTGGCTTCTGCTCATTTTTGTGCTGTCTCCAAATGCCTGTATTGCCTGGAAGTCCCATATGCCTGGGAAAAGCACCATATGCATATCCTTTTCATGTAGAACATGAAACAAAGCTGCTAGTCTGTCTTAAAAATTTGAGCATGAGATTTGTGCGTGATCCTGGGATACAAGCTGCATTTGATGGTGTTCGCCTCTAGTACTTAGTAGTTAGCAAGACTGCGTATGACCTTGATTCTGATAGAACTTCCTATGTGCTGCAGTACTAAAGTCTGTCCCGGGGGAGGGTCCCATTTCGAGGCTCCAAGAGAAGACACTACTTCACCTTACTCTTGCTCTTTGTATGCTGAAATTTCACAGCCTTGTGAATATATTCTTGACATGCTGAGACATTTGAAGGCTCAAAGACTGCTAAATCTAAGAAAAATGCTCCAGGCAGTCCTCAAACTGTCCTCCATAGAGGACTTATTCCAGTGGTTCCCATACTGACTTCCATTCCATGGCCATGATCCCTGGCCCTAGTTTCCTTCAGTCAAGTCAAGTTAACATTTGCGGTCACTGTCTCTAACCCATGACTCGACACTGAAATCTCTCTGGCAAGCTGTTACGTGTACTGTAGCACTGAATGACTTCAGGTTGCCCTCAGAATTAATACGGTTAGTAGTACTGATATAGTCTGCTCTTGTACTGACATCTGTCTATGGTTCTAGTTCTGAGGCTTGGGTTTGGCTCCAGCTCTTATAGTATCACCTGTAAAGCTTACTTTTTCCCAGTTCTGACCCTGTGTCCAGTTCCATTCAGTCTGTGGATCTGCATCAACAGTTCAGAGTTTATAGAAGACAATAGTACAGACTCCTTAGAGTACCCTGATGGACTGTCTTTGTTCCAGCATAGTGACTTCAAGGTTGTACCTGACTCTGGTGGACCTTTTGGCGTTAGGATCCTAAGTCTTCCCCTGGGATCAGGTCAGGTTTCCCTGTTCTTTCTCCTTGGCTTTAATTTGGGGATTGCTGTGTCAATTGCTCACACTTTCACCAGATTGAAAAGGACATCCTTATCTAGGTTCAAGATTAGTGACTTCTAAAGGACTAATCCACTGCCTTTTTCCTTAATAAATGAGACTCTTGTCTCTGGAATTGCTACTTGAACTCATAACATGTTTCTTGATCTATGTTTCTTTGTAGTTTTTTAACTTTGCAAGAAAACTGGGAGAGATTTAACACCACGTGGTAGATCCTCTGTGCATACTGCCTACTATCCAAGAAAAATATCCTGAGGGACCTCCCCAGGTGCCTGCTGAAAGTGTTCATTAAATTCCAAGTCAGCCAGCAGATTTACGTTTCCAATATTCTTCCTTAATCTTCTTTCCTTTTGAGGCGAGGTGTCATTTTTCATTTAGTATGTGCAGAGATTAGTCTTTCTATGTATAGAGAACTGAGCCTTTTAGAAAGACTTTGTGAGTCTCTCCCTTGAG